GAAAGAGTCCACAGGGAGGAAAATAAACTCAAATTGGGCCTTTATCACAAATTTCCTAACTTTAAAAATTCATCTCAGGAGATAGAAAGTAAAATCGTATTTCACAGCAACGACAAAAAAAAAGTGCAAGTGGAATGGTGTAGTTTTTACCCCAATGACTCTTAACACGCCTTCAGTAGCCGCAAAGATAAAGTAAAGGATCCCCAGTCCGATGACCCGGTGCATGACTGTTCCTAGACGAGGCCTGGTACAAGGAGGAGCAAACAGAAAAAAGAGAAAGAAGAAGCCAGGTAAGTAAAATGTATCTGACTACAGTAACTGGCCCCATTTCCAACACCAGGGACGTCACTATCCAATCACGTCAGTCCCTTCCCGCCTTGGAGGTACTCTGTTTTGGGAAACAGCATTGTTTCCCGGGAAGAAGGCAGAAACAGGCTCAGGGAAACCTGGCCTCCTTCTCTAGGACTTGAAGCTGTACTGATGCCTATGAAGCAATGTTTTTGAGGCCAGAGGATCTTGCTGCTGAAATCCAAGCAATATGATTAACATAACCCAGGAACTATGTCTACAGAATGGACGAGAAGAGTGGTGAAACCGAGGAAGTAAGCGCCAACTTCTAAGTGTCACTGGCAGAAATAATCATTTAATTCTTTCACTAACAGAGATTGTAAAGTGTTCTGAGATGTGTCTTGTCAGCGATAATCCACTGGTTCTATGACTTGGGCAGAGAAATAGCAGGATGTTGGGAGATCGAATCCCACCGCCTTCCCCTCTCAATACTCCCAAACGACAGTCCGAACACACTTCAGCTTTCATTCTTCAGATCGAAAAGAATGAAAATAACAGTTTTGATTCTTTGAAAGTATAAATGAGCTGAGAACATGCAAAGATGATGATTTTTGCGATTAGTCGTTTGAAAATAGAACTGAAATTTCGAGAATTCCCTGGTGGTCCAATGGTTAGGACGCGGCGCTTTCACTGCTGTGGGCCCAAGTTCAATCCCTGGTCGGGGAACGAAGATCCCTCAGGCCGCACAGCTTGGCCAAAAAAAAAAAAAAAAAAAAGAACTGAAATTTCATGATACTTGCAAGTCAGAATTTATTGTCAATACGTTTTAACTCAAAAACCGTTTTTTCAGAGTAATTAGAAGAAAAAACTGGTTTTGAAAAAAAAATATTTATGATAGTCATTTTAAAACAAATCTAAGTAAAAACTGAACTAACACCCATAGCTCATATTTCAGACAATTTATCTAACTTAGTTAATCTAAATTCTGGTTCACTATAGCCAGCTTACTGGAACCCTGCAACAGCCAGAACTGTTACTGCGCTCGCGTTGTGTAAGAGTTGAACACAAGTTGACAGTGAAGGGATTCAGTCAAAAAGGGCTGAGCCCTCACCCACCAGCTCAATCTTCTATCCCTTTCTCAGCCACCACCCTCTGCACGCTAGCACCTGATGCTCATAACTACAACTCTGAGCTGCCACTGGGACCCAGAGGGTTTTGTGTTCTATATACTGTACTAAGGCCAAAAAACAAAAGAAAGCAAAACAAACGAAAAGAAGGTTTCGTCGCTACAGTCTTGGTAACTGCACCAGTCTGCAGCTCAGAAGCACATATGTGTGCATTAGTGCACGCTTACTGAGTGCACGCTGTGCGCCGCCCAGTGCACTGGGGCCTCGGGATACAGCAGGACACAATACAGGGAAGTCACACACAAGTGGGGGGAAGAAACAACAAATGCTAAGAAACACATCAAAAGGGATGAGGGACTACAGCGATGGAGGATGGGCACTGATTAGGGTCCCAAAGGGCCATCCTCCCTGGGGGGTGATGGTGAGGCAGAGAACTAAAGGAAGTGAGGGAGCAAACCACGCCTGGGATCCGGGGGAGAAGCTGACAAGCAGAGGCCTTTCCTGCACGGTGAGACAAGTGTCTGCTGTGTTTAAGGAACAGTGAGAGCAAGAAAACCAGCAGGAGGGAGCAGAGTGTTTGGAGGGAGAGTGGCAGGAGATGAGGTCCGCCATCGGAGAAGCCACAAGATGGAATTTGGGTTTCACTGAGTGAAATGAGCAGAAAAGTAATGAAATTGGAGTTACATTTTAAGAGAATCATCTTGGCTGCTGCTGTGTTTGAAAAAACTGACAGACTAGGGCAGAAGCGGGGAGACCAGTTTGGAGGCTACTGGAGTGTAGTCTTAGCAGGAGAAGACGGTGGCCTGGACCAGGGCGGTGGCTGTGGAGGGGCGGGATGGGCTCATTCTGGACACGTTCATCAGTCAGAGCCACAGAACTGGATGAGAAAGCCTCGGGGATGCCGGTCACTAGAGCAGAGGTCTGGGGCCTGAGCCCAGGGCCCCCCAAAACTGGAGCTCGGGAAGACGAGGGGGCTCCAGCACAGGAGACCCTGAAGGAGCCTCCATGACCGGGCACCTGCACGGGGGCTGAGCGGGGCCCTGCGATTCGGCAAGGAGGTCAAGGTGACCTTGACAGGAGCAGTGGAGGAATGGGGCCAAACCTCACAAGGACAGAAAATGAGGGAAGTGGAAGCGGCCAAGTATAGACAACACATCTGAAAAACAGGGGAAAAGCAATGAAGGAGAAGCAGAGGAGGGCCATCTGGGTTCAAGGGAGGGTTTGCTTCTGAAGATGACAGAGGTAACAGTGTGCTGATGGGAATGGCCCACCGGAGAGGGAAATTGACGCTATCAGAGAAAACGGGACAGACTGCTGGAACAGCTTCTTTGACAGGGGAGGTAACAGGACCCAGGGCACCAGGGCAGGGCGGGGCTTAACCGCACACAGGGATGGTCCACGCCGTACAGGAGCAGAACACGCTGCGTGTGGTCCAGAGGTGGGCAGGATGACACGGACCTGACGGTCGCAAGCCCCTTCTGATGGCTTCTAATTCCTCGGTGAGAAAAGAGCCAAGGTCAGCTACGATGGATGAGGGCAGGGAGGTGCGAGGAGACAGAAGGGGTAAATGGTCTTCCGCAGAGTGAAGAGTCAGAACACAAATGGCAAGGGGATCAAGAACTGCCAGCAGCACTGAGGGCGCCCTTCAAGTTCAGGGTCATGAAGTGAACTGAGCCAGGCAGTGGGGTGGGGTGTTCTTCTCAGGCTGACGCTGCAGCCCCGGCTGAGCCTGCGCAGATGGAGAGCTGGATTTATCGAGGGAGGCTGACAAAGGAAAAGGCGGAGGGCCTCAGGCGTGGCAGGGGTCATCAGTGCCCTGCCGGACCGTGGAAGGCGGTGGGATCAATGGGCCGGAGGCCACACCAGGGACCAAGAGTGCCTACAGCTGACATATTAGAGAAAGTAAACAGGCAACGGGGGAGGCTGAAGAGTAGATTGCTTCAATGTGCCACCATGGAGAGGGTGCAGTTATACACAATAATAAATAGATAATAATCAAGTCTAGAAAATGGCCAGGGGACCCAGTAGTTGAGGGGAGGTGACAGGTAAGAGCGGCAGAGGTGAGGGGGTGAGGTCAGGTCTCTTAAAGGATCCTCAAACGGATACTCAAATTATAGGGAATCCTGACAGTGAAGTGCTGAGGAGAAAGACAATAAATAAAGCAAGTGCTCGGAGTGGTGAGGGATGAGGGGAAACCTGGCAGCTGACAAGGCCTGCAACCCAAAGATGCAGCTGTGGTCCAGTGTGAGGGCTTGAGTTTCTGGGAATCAGAGGGTCTTAGGGAACAGGCTCTTCCATGTTCATGCCCAGGGACTCAAAGGTAAGAGGGAGAAAAGATCTGCTTGAGAGGGTCCCGAAAGCAGGTCCTCAGGCGACTGACTGCCAGGTTTCAGCCAGAAATTCTGCTGAACCTGGAG